TCTTAAAATAGAACATGGTGTGGTTGCACAACTCTATACATTTACTAAAAATTATTGATTTGTATACTTATAATAAGTGAATTTTATGGTATATTTATTACACCTTAATGAATTGTTAAAGCAATTAATTATAAAATAATGCAGGATGGCAAGAAGTGGTTTGGGGGGGTACAGGTGGAACAAACTGGTAATTCATTGATAATTGTTAAAGTTGGAAGGAATATGTGGGATCTTATTTCACTCTTTTTCTGCTTTTGTATTTCTTTTAAATTTTCTTTGTGTTTGTTTATTTGAGACAGACCGTGGATCTCACTCTGTCACCCAGTCTGGAGTGTAGTGGCACGATCATGGCTCACTGGCAGCCTCTAGCTCCTGGGTCAGTCAGATCATCCCACTTCAGCCCCCTGATTACCTGGAACTATAGGCATGTGCCACCAGCTAATTCTTTTTATTTTTTGTAGAGACAGGCTCTCTCAATGTTGTCCAGGCAGATCTTGAATTCCTGAACTCAAGTTATCCAACCTCCTTGGCCTCCTGAAGTGCTGAGATAACAGGCTTTCTTTTAAATTTTCAAAAATAAAATTTAAATTTTAAAATTTAGTCTTATTGTACACTCTGTATAGGAGAATTGAGTAAAGAGAAGGTTTCAATCTTATATCTAAGAGTTTTAAAAGACAAAAAGTATCTTCCTTAATGTTCTCTTGGAAATGTCTGCCTCTACATGAGAACTAACCTGCCAAGTATTCCCAAACTTTTCTGTTTGTGGAGGAAGTGACTCAGTGGAAAGTCACAGGAGTTGAAGATTGTTTGAGCAGAGGGAAAACATGAAGCTGAGTTGTCGCCAAATCTCTGGGGGCAACCATGGAGAGCAAAATCATTGTATCTGTGCCTTAAAGAAAATATCATTTTGCTATGCAGCAAGTGATAGGCCTCTAACAAATAAATGCCATTTTCCTTATGCTTATATTCAACTTAAAACACTTTGAAGAAAATGGATTTCTCATATACTTCATGATAAACATCAAATTACTTTAAGTTTTCCCAGCAACTATCCACCATATCAGCCTCATTTCTAACCCCGTGTCCCATGAACTTAAAGGCTCCAGATTTCCCAAACTTATTTTTTCAGAGCACTAAACTACCATTCAGCATTCTCTCATCTCATATCTTTAAACTTATGGTATCTTTTGCTTAGAAAATGTTTTGTGTCTGTGCTGTTTTTGTCCCTAGCAATCCGTCAGTTCTCAGATTACATATCACTATATCGGGAAAGCATTTGGTAATTCCCTGAACTCAGCTACTACTTTGGTGCTCTTTCCTAGGACCCTGACCTTCCACCCATAGTAAATTATTGTAATTATTTGTCTTCCCAATGCTCTAAATTCATGGAATTATCTTCAGTGGCCTGCAATGTGCTTAGCGATCAGCAGGCATTTAGCAAAAGTTGTGTTCAAGGATTAAATTAAATAATATATACATTCACCTCCTGAAAAACTTTATATAAAATTTATGTTTAGCATATAGTGGGTGTAAAATAAATACCTGTTCAATAAATGAATAAATGGATGAATGAATGAGTCTATCTTTCATTAAATACAGTTAATCAAACAATCCAAGATACAAGTTCAAAGCAAGTCGACCTTTAAAATGTAACTGTACCAACTACATAGTAAATTTTCTGTAAGGGTCAATGCAAATATAAAGAAAATAGAATTCTTTTGTTTTATTATATTCAATCTTGTTTAAATAGAAGAAAATATAAAATATTCCTTTAAAAATCTTACTGCAATTTAAATTATATTGAGTTCTTCGAGGGCAAAGCTACCTTGATGTCTCAGTTATAATAGTTTCAAGTATCCTTGGGTAGTTATTTTTAGTGTCAGGTTTTGTTTACACAGAAACTACAGAGAAATATCTTTGAATATAAAAATTTCGAATATTTAAATAAATACACCAATGTTCATGACTTTATTCTCAAGTATTGTTAGAAGGAATAATGCAGCAAAATCATGACAAAAATATCTGTATCTTTCTTCACTTGATTGGTCTCAGATTGTGAACTTTATTATGATAAAGCTACAATTTTGTAACTGTTACTTAATAAACATATAGAAATATAGTATACAATAGAAGCCCTCTGTTTGTGGTGGGCTAGAATAAATTAACAAACCACAGAACATTCAAGAATTTCTTTTTATTAAATGAAGTAAAATAAATAAATTATGTTTATTGTTTGACTTTGTGTCATCTAAATGTTAACTTAAAGCCGCATGTTTTCTTCTGGCTATTTATCTTCTATGTTGAAATAGCAGAATCCCATGCAAAGAGACTCCTTTGAAAGATTTATAGCTTAAGGCATGTAATAAGGCAGCACTGTGTTTATCTCATTCCCTCTAGACTCACTATGCTATTTCTGCTGAGTAGTGATACTGATTGAAGTATTTTAAGATTCTGCAAGAGATGTCCTGATGTGATTATAAAGCACTGAATTTTGTTCCTTCCCTGTCTTCCCACTCGATGCTATAAAAATTCATATGCGTAGTTTCACTGGTTAAAAACATTCAGTTGACTTCTCTAACCCAAACTCCTATTGAAAGCCCAGGTTTGCTGTTTCGAGTCATAGTGAAATTTATAACTTTCAAGGTCTGCATAATGTCTCTGATTCCCACAACATAATATCCTTTTCAAAGCTTTTAAAGGATGAAAGTTTCCACTTCCAATACCTAAGTATAAACCATGGAAGAGGGGATAAAGAAGGGGGTCCTCAACAAGGCATCTGTGCAAATTAATGGAAGCATTATGGTTATGATGGCCAAATATTCAGCCCACATAGTATTTTAACCAGGATGGTTTTAAAATGAAGCTTTGTGTTCATCAAAGTAATCCATGAATATGTAATATAAACTCACAAGTCTTACAGAAATACAAACATTCCTCTCCCCACCAGCCTCTACAGTTTGTCCCCATAGAGCCACCTCCTTTTAGTTGTTTTTCCCTCAAATATTTAACTTCAGATTTCTCATGATTTTTTATTTTGCTATTTTTCAAGTTATTAATTGTGGGTATTTATTTGTCCTATGAAAGATAAAGATTTAGAACTCTTATAGAAAGTCATGTGTATGCTTCACTTTTTCTTGCACCATCTCCTGAAGTTATATCAAAAACTTAAGTCAATATTTAATTTAAAATAAGTATTAATGTATAACTAAAATTTAAGTAGTACACTGTAATTACATTTCTTTTCTTGTACAATCATTTATTTTCCTAGAGACAATAGTTTGTGATCATCATTCTATCATTTACTTAATTTCCTATTAATGTAATGCTATTTTTTCCCAAATTAGCAGAAAAATTTAAAGTTCTATAGAGTACAGTGAGGATAGAATACAGCAAAGCTCTTTAAAGTCCTGTCCTCCTATGCTTTCTTTAATTTAGAGGCTAGGAAACAAATTTTCATCTTCACAGAATACATTGCAATATGACCCAGTCCTTGGCAATGATATGTAGGTGGAAGTTACTGAGTAGAGCTTCCAAGAATTTTTTGTAAAATGTAAGATTTGATTTCTGTACTTCTTTGACCTTCTGCTTTTTTATCTTCCTGTCTAAAGCAAACCTTTTGATTTTTTGTCTTCCTGCTTAAAGCAATGAATCAGATGTCTGAATATGTTTGTAACCATGAGACAATAATGAGATCAAAATTTATACTCTTGTGATGTCAGGTGTTATGGGTTGAGTTGTACCCTTCCCCACCCCACCCCCAAATTCGTATGTTGACTCCTAACTGCCTGTTTCAGAAAGTGCACTTTTTTGGAGACAGGTTCATTGTGGATGAAATTAGTTAAAGGTGGGCCCCTAATCCAACTTGACTGGTGTTCTTATAAAAAGGGAAGTTTGGACATAGATCCCCACACAGAGAGAAAACACCATGTGAAGATGAAGGCAGAGATCAGAGTAATACAGCAAAAGCCAAGGATTGACAAAGATTGCCAGCAAACCACTAGAAGCTAGTAGAGGGGCATGGAACATATTCTCCCCACAACCCCCAGGAAGACCCGTTGTTGATCTTGGACTTCTACCCTCTAGAATTGAGACAAAAAAATCTTTCTTGGTCGGGCATGGTGGCTCACGCCTGTAATCCTTGCACTTTGGGAGGCTGAGGCAGGCGGATCATGATGTCAAAAGATCAAGAGATTGAGACCATCCTGACCAACATGGCGAAACCCCGTCTCTACTAAAAATACAAAAAAAAAAATTACTTAGGCTTAGTGGCAGGTGCCTGTAGTCCCAGCTACTCCAGAGGCTGAGGCAGGAGACTCACTTGAACCTGGGAAGTGGAGGTTGCAGTGAGCCAAGATTGTGCCACTGCACTCCATCCCGGCGATAGAGCGAGAACCCCATCTAAAAAAAAAAAAAAAAGAGTCTTGTTCTTTAAGTCCCCCAGCTTGTGTACTTTGTTATGGTAGCCCTTGCAAACTGACACAGCATAATGCTGGAAGAAACCTGAGTCTCTGGTAATATTGAGACCTAAAGTGTCTAGTTCCTCTCCAGTACTGTTGTGTGAGACATGAGACACATAATTCTTTATTACTTAAAGCTGCTGTTTGTTGAGTTTTTTTATTATGAACAGCCTGCCACTTCATGACTGGTACAACTGCTTTCAATACTGTTTTCAATTTGTAAAATGTGTTAGGTAATCTATCAACAACACTTTTCTCTACAAAAGCCACTTCTTAGAACTCTCCATCCTGCCAACCCATTTTAGCCATGTTACTTCCTACTCTTGTTGAAATCTTCCATATGGGAATCCTCCTTTATATTTATTCAAGGAATTTCTTCTATTTCTTCTGTGTGTTTGATCCCATGTTTCTTAAAATCCAGATTCCTTTTCTCAAAATTAAGCTCTTGATATAAGAGCTCCCTGAGAAATAGTACAAGGGAGAGGAACTTCCTGAAAACTTATACATTAGAAAATATCTTTATTCTGTCATTGCCAAGTTTGATTGATAATTTGGCTGCACATAGAATTCTATATGGTGAATATACTCCATAGATTAATTATAATGTTTTTCTAATAATTTTGAAGATGTTATTACAATGACCTTCAGATTATAGGGTTCCTTTGAGAAGTTCAGTATTCTAATTCTTCTACCTCTGTCTCTCTTTTATGCACAGGCAGACACACACACATACACACACACACACACACACACAAGTTTAAATGCCCTTGGCTATCCAATATTTCACAGTTTTGCTCTTTAGTTTCTTTAATTGATTTTTCTGAATGATACCCGTTTCAATCGATTCTGAGAAACATTTTTCTGTTTTTATTTCTACGTTATATCCCCATTCATTTTATTTGTTTTCCTTTTCTGAGAACACTGTCATTGAATAGTTGGCCTCTTAGACTTAGGCTCTAATTATCTTTTTATTCATTTCAATATTCAGTCTTACTTTTTTGGTTCTAGTTTGTGTAAAGTTTCATCCTTTTGTCTTCTCACTTACATATTTAAGTATCAAAGGCTGTTTTCTACGCTCTGAATGTTCTTTTTCTCATAGTATTCTGTCTCCCTCAGAACACTAATGACAGCCTTTTGAGATGTTTGCCTGTTTCTTGCATTGTATTTTGTCCCTTCTATTTTCCTTTAATTTATTTTTTATGTTGGGTGTTTTCTTTTAAAATCTGGTGATACTTCACATTTATATTTGAAGTGAGATTCTAAAAAGATTATTGACATAGATATGTATCTGAGAGAGCTCATGGTAGCTTGCTAAAATTTCATTAAGACATTGCAGAATTTCACTATTTGCAGATCTTTTCCCCACCAAGTGCCTTTCAGTTTTTCTAGAGATGAGTCCTATAGTCTCTTATCTGAAGATCTGTATCCTTGACTATTAGATTACTATGGACTGAGCCAGGAACAGGACTTCAGGAAGGGTATCAACTTTCAGTATACTGCTTTTCACTTCCCACATCATTTGCAGCAAAGTACCTCAACATCTTATGTTGCTGAGTTTCACATTCAATTTCTCCTGAAAAATGGGATATTGCTGATTTTGGCCAACACTGAGTTGCAAAGGGAAGCTAGAGGTCTGTTCCTTGTCATGTCTTAAACGATCATGCCAGTTTTCAGCTCCTACTCTCTCCCCTACCTACTTTGGCTCCTTTTGTGATGATTTCCTTCTTAGTTTTTGCAAGGCAGAATAGCTGGCTTTTAATTGGCTTCTCCGCTGCAGGCAAGTGCCTTCATTCCTTGTTCTGCTGTGCCAATCATTACATCCATTCTCTTCTTTCCATCTTCCAAAAATATGTTGACCTCTCTTGTTCTTGTCCACTATTCTTTTCTTTCTGTATTAGATCAAAATGTTTTTATTATTCCACTGCTGTTTCTGTGATGAATTTTTGAGAGAACCGAGGGATATCCATGGATTAAATCTACCATGATTGAATGAAAATATGAGTAGCATTTCAAAAAAAAAAAAAAAAAAACTTCTCATTGAAAAAGGAGCTATAGATTCTGCCAGGAAGGGATAGCTATAGATGGGAGGAAATGAAAGTCACTCTTCAGAACCATTTAATCTTAATTAACAGATTACAATAACAGATGACTAGTAGTGAGACCAGTAGTAGAAACTCAAGTTGCATGTACTACAGCTTGTAAAAAGAATCGTAGCATTCATATTATCACAAACAAGCTAATCTTTTCAATGTTAAATGAAAAAATACTGAAACACTTTATTAAATTTCCAATAGCTGAATATGCAATAAATTGTCAAAATGTCAAATATTGTGAGCCAGCATCCTTGGTATCAATAGCAATCTTCATGTAGATTTTACATATTTTGCATATACCCTTATTTTTTAAAAATAGTGAGCCAACATTTGAAAATCGTAAAATTTCAAGTAAATAAATTGTTTTCCCTTTTAAAATATCGAATATCTGATAACCTTCCTGGCGATGTTCAGGTGAAACTGAAAATCAGGTAACCTTTCAGTAGGGATAAAGGTCCTGTTATTTGTTCTTTCGCAATAACTCATGTGTTTATTCGAATACAGTGAAATAGAGCTATCACACAGTCAACGTATATGAGCGTCTAAGATGCAATGTCTTGGCTCACAGGACCATAGTAGAAAGTAATGCTCCAGCCAGGAAGGACAGGGGATAGGCAAGAAACTTTTAACTGAACATTGCCTATAAATCAACTAAATTTTAAACTTTAAGTTGCTGAGTTAACTAAAAGTACCAAAATTGTGTTTTCTTTCTGTTGGCAGAAAGAGGGCCTCCAGAGCAAATGGGAATTCAGTTATAGACAAATTAAGATAGCTACACCTGCTCTCCTCAGATCTGGATTGTAAATTTCATACCCATCATAATTATAATGATATTATCCTTATATTTGCCTCATTTATAAAAATGTATTAAAAGAACATAGTTTTCTTTCCTTTTGTCTATTGCAGTCTTTATTTTTGATATATAGTTTAATATATATTAATATATAGTTTGCCCATATATACAAATTCTGAAACCTTGTTTGACAAAGATCATCTGGACAGCAGGATATCAGTACCTAATGATACTTTTCTCCATATAGAAGAACATAGTTTAAGACAAAGGGTAGTATTTTAGGAGTCTTATAACCTAGGTTCTACTAGGTTACATGTAGATTCGGCAAGTTACTTTGGATGTTTTAATGCCTGTCTATCCCCATATTCAGAATAGATTTTATAGTGACTGTTTAAACTTCATAACTTTTATAAATTAATAGTGGTAAAAATGGGTGAGAATTAAGATAAAGGCACTTAAAAATGTAAAGTTAACATATTATACATGGCATTATTACATAAATAATGATTGCTATTTTGAATGAACCCTATAATATTCTCAACAAGACTGACTTTATAAATTAATTCTTACAAGGTTTTGTCAATGAAAGTGAGGCTATTTGAAATTAGAATGCAAAACCTAAAATGCAATAAAAAAATAAAAAAAGAATGCAAGACACAACCAGTGTTTATTTGCTTATTATATTGAATTGGTACATATATAGATGAATATATTCATATATATTGGTATGTAAATTAGCAAACTCAATATTCCATTCTAGCATAAACTCCCTTAGCTAAGAACTTAAAAATTGCATTTCCTCAATTTTCTTTTGCAGTTACCATCCTTATCCAGCAAATATGTATATCCATAAGAGATGTTGATGCAAGTAGGCTAAGTCAGATGGAAAAATAGTTAGATGGAAGGTTGTTTCTAAGTAAGGTGATAATGTTCTGAAGCAAGAAGCTGTAGCAGTAACTTCCTTTTCAGCAGTTATCTTCCAATTCAACAGCATTTGAAACCTCCCAAATTGTAGCAAAAGCAAAATAACCTAGAAAAGTCGCTCTAAAGTTATTTCTTTAGCCTTTAAATGATGTCATAAGCACTTAATTTTCCATATTGCATACTTTTTTGTTAAAACTAGCTAGTGTGGATTTGTTGACTTCTTCTGAAGTGAGCAATTCAGACATAGTTTGTATTTTGATACCTACATGTCATTGAATGACTTTTCATGATGAACCATTTTATTCCAAAAGTGACTTGTGGGTTTCTGTAAAGGCACAATAGAGTGACATTTGCCATCTGATAGACAAACTGAAATTAAACATTGATCAAATTATTTCAGACTCTCCAGAAAAATTTCTCTGTATTTGATGGCTATTTTTTCAGTTTTTCTTTCTTATGAAGATGTAGCCAAAGAGTAAGAAATTATTATTCTATTAAATACAATATGTGCGTATTTCCCTTTGAGTTTTACAACTAAATATGTGTTGCATATTGTGAAAGAGAACATTGAGGTTCACCTTTAAATATCTACGATTAATATTGAATTTGCATAATCGGAATATAACCAAGAATTCATGGTCATGATCACAGGTAGATAAAAGATATAAATGAGACTGATTTTATTTAAAAATACAATAATTTTGTTGGCAAACAAAAAACAAGATGTATAACAACTGTCTTTACTTCCACTAAATAAAATCAAAGACAAAAGATTAAAGAATGTTTCATAAAATATTTCAGTAACATATGAATATGTGAAATTATTTTAATAGTCAATTTAATGTGAAACATTGGGTAACTGCATCTAATTAGCAAAAAAAGAGGCTAGTTTGTTCTATACTTTATTATAAATGTTTTGTTACAGTTTGTAAGTATTACTGACTTCGTTAATATGGTAAATAGATTCTAAGGTCATATTCATGATCTTCACCTTCTGATATTTACACTCTAATTTTCTCCCTCCAAGTGCAGTCTGGAAGTCTGTAAATAACTGAATGCTGTAAATAAGCATGTTAGTGAAATAACAAACCCTTTCCCAGTCAAGCATCAGATGAGACCTTAACCCAGGCCAAAACCTTGATCTTAGCCTTGTAAATGACCCAGCTAAGCAGTGCCCAGAGCCCTAACCCATAGAAATTGTGAAGTGATGAATGTACATTACATCATGCAGTTTATGATAATATTGTTACTTAGCAATAGATAACTAATGCAGCCAATTTTATGTAATCATAACTTTATTACAACCATAGAACTGAATATTCTTATGTATTCTTATTAGATAATAAAATACACACATGGTATAAATAAATCACATAGGAAATGAATAAAATTAGTTTATATTCTATAAAACTCAAAAATATATGTTGCAAACAACTACTTGTAACCAATCCAAAAGTATACTTAAAAATGATTAATTATGAAATTTATCATATGATAATAGCAGTTTCTGAGACGCATTTTTCTATAGGTAATCTCTTAGAAGTTCCATTTGGTCAGTAATGTTGAATAAACATATATTAAATATGCATTTAATATATGTTTATAAATGCATTTGCTATTGAATTACTTCATTTAACTTGGGTATGTATAACATAGTAAAGTCTCAATTATTGTGTGAGTTTCTCCCAACTATAATGACATAGCATAGTTTTCTCATTTCAAGGCTTTAATTAATTTACATTATA